GCTTTTCATCACTTCCCATTGCTTTTACTGCAGGTTTAAGGGAAATCGCTTCTGATATAATATATTTTAATAAAACAGAAATAATTTACAATATAGAGAGGCAAATAAAACTACATTCACTACTGTTTCTAAAAAGATTTTGATTGAATTAATTTCTAACACAGAAAAGTGTATTTTTTGTGTACTTTTAAACAAAATATGATGATTTTCCGTATGTTAACATTTATAACCGTGATAATATTTTATAGTAAATTTGTAATTATGAGAAATATTCTTTTCAAGCCACGGTGCAAGGCTGAACTCAGTGAGGAGAAAGTAGTTTTTTTTTTAAATAAATTAACATGTGGCTAATTATTCCATTCGAAGTAACAAGCCTGCTTGTGCTGAGGAAGGTGAAGTGGAGTTCAGCTGTTCATGGACTCTATACCGTGATCCCAACTCGAGACTTTCGTGATAGCCGTACAACACACCACGATAATCCCGTTCTGGATGTAGCTTATCCCATTAAATATTGAAAAATAGAGTTTGCATAATATGATGTTATAACAATAGTGTTTTGAAAGAACACATTATTAAATCTCAGGACATACGCCAGGTTAAATTATCCTCAAACAATTTTTAGAGAAACATTCATTTGAAAAGTGAAATGTTATTATTTATTATGTAAACTATTTGTGGTATTGATAATTATAAAGCTCTATATTAATTAACCATTCAGTAATTTAAATAACTTCACTATGACCAATCAGTAAAACAGAAAAAAACGGGCTTTAAATAAAATCACAGATTTTTGCAATAATATAAAGCTTATAAACACAAAGAAATATGATTGTATAAACAGTGAGAACTTATCCCCACAGATAAAAACATATTTGCAAAATCAATTAGCATTCATGAATTCATTCTTGTATAATGTATTTAAATAAAGGACATACAGGAGTCTACAGTCGCGCAATGTGTTTCTAGGCCGACCCAAATAAGTTACAAAAATGTATGTATTTTGTTATATCTTATATTTTGTACTGAGTTTGAATTTGATTTTGAATATTCTCATTAAAAATAAATTAACAAGATTTCATTTTAATTGTGTATAGAATGTTATAGCACTTGAATTGAAAAAAAAAAGATTCTATTGTTTGCTATATTTCTATGTAATGCGTTTTATTATTGTTAGGATGCTATTTAGAGATATGATAGAATGCACACTTTATAATTTTTGACACAACAGTTTTAGTTTTTAAATCTCTCTTTTTACACCTACATATATGATAGAGTTAGCAAAACAATTATGTTATTGTTACTTATAGTTTGTACGAGGCCTAGACATTACGAGTATACATACATATATCTATGGTGTATTTACCTTTTAGTGATACTGCAAATCTCTAATGTTTGAGGAATAACTATATGTTTTACCACTACATTTTTGAATCCTTTCATTGTTCATATCATTGTCCGTTCTAAATTTGTTCTCAATCACAATATGTAATTATTAATTTTTCCAAGGCAAAAAAAAAATTGCTTCTTTAGGGGTCATCCATAAATGACCTAACGCTTTTTTTACGATTTTACCCCCCCCCCCCCCCCTGCCACCCCCCTTAGTCAAACAGGCAGAAAAAGCCAGATCCCCATAAAATAACGTCACACATCAGCCTTCAACCCCCCCCCCCCCTCAATACTTCCGTTGTATGTTCCTTAAAAGAGTTATATTTTCCCATTTCTTGTCTGAACTCTGTCAACATAAATTGTTTTAATTAATTTTTATAACAATTTATTAAAACATTTTTTGCCGAGAAAGAACAGCTAAAACTTGTTTTCTAGCATTGCTTTTTACAATGCAAAACAACCCCCTCCCCCTCATCACACACCGTCGCAAAATTACGGACCCCCCCCCCCTTTTTTTTCCTCCTAAGAGTATGACGTCATTTATGGACACCCCTAACCCGAGATAATTTTCTACTCAATCGGCTTATGACAAATTCAAAAAAAAAAAATTAACGAACTTCGATTGCCCGAACGCCGTTTGCTATAAGGACGTTTTACCAAAACGTATTTGCGACAAACTTCTTAAGTGTTGCGGTGTTTCACAGTTTAAAAAAAAAATAATAACGCAATTTAAACGTTATACACATATTTTACAGTTATACTGTTATGGTCAGTGGGCTATTTAATTGTTGTAACTAGCCATAACACAAATTAAAACAGAGTCCAACGTTCATTTATCACAATAAAATATAATCTTCCACATACAACAGAGAAACAGTGAACATTAAAACGAAAAACACTGACTACATGCTACCCTAAGTTGACGATACCACACACTCTCCTTACACACTAGAGTTCACACACTTGTCAGGGGAGGCGACTCTCACACCCAATCTCTCCGTGCCTACACGCTTTCGCTATGAACATCTAGGCCACGTCACACCTCCCCCCTAAAAAAAAGAGGTTTCTTATTTTTCCTTAAATTAAACAGCATTTCTAAGGTCTATCCTGCACAACTACTTAACATGTACAGTAACAATTTTAACAAAATATTTATCTGACCTTTTACATGCTTTAAATCTCCCTATAAATAAATGATGGCGAGTAAAAAATTATATCTCTACAATAAAATGTTGGACGTACGCATGAATTAACTACTTATAGCTTTATACGTCTAGTCTATAAGTCAACAAGGTCTTTAAAATACATTTGTCATCAATAAAGCATTTGAATTGAATCACAAGACATCAGAACAATGTTACTTTCTTTTCGTTTTGTGAAGTGAGATATATTTAAATAAATCTAGTCAATGATGACAATGAAACTACTTATAGCTTTATACGTCTAGTCTATAAGTCAACAAGGTCTTTAAAAAAAACATTTGTCATCAATAAAGCATTTGAATTGAATTACAATACATCAGAACAATGTTACTTCCCTTTCGTTTTATGAAGTGAGATATGTTGAAATAAATCTAGTCAATGATGACAATGAAAACTAGAAGCTATTCATATAATACAAGTTCGTACACCACTCTAATTTTGGTACAGTCTTTGGCTCTGGATGTCGATCTGGATCTCGCTCTGGCTTTGGCTCTGGCTCTCGCTCTGGCTCTGGGTTTTGACTCTGGCTTTGGCTCTGGCTCTGGTTTTGGCTCTGGTTTTGGCACCGGCTCTGGCTTTGGCTCTGGCTCTGGCTCTGGTTTCGGCTCTGGCTCTGGTTTTGGCTCTGGCTCTGGTTGTGGCTCTGGCTCTGGTTTTGGCTCTGGCTCTGGTTTTGGCTCTGGCACGGGCTCTGGCACGGGCTCTGGCTCTGACTTTGGCTCTGGCACTGGCTCTGGCACTGGCTCTGGCACTGGCTCTGGCTCTGACGTTGGCTCTGGCTCTTCTGCTCAGCTCTGGTGTCCAAACATTTTTGTTTCGATCCTGCTATCTTGACATCACAGTCTTTAACTATAATTAAAGTCTCATTAGTATCTTTAAAAAGACTATGAACTTGATACTGGTTTAAAGTTACCTTCTGCTCAGCTGCCCTTGACCTAGTTCTCCACTCTGTTGACTTGTTGCCTAGATTGCGTCTCTGGTTGATTAGGTCTTCTGTAAGTGGGACAGTAGCTTGAGCTTTCATGTTGGTGGCGACGCAATGATTTGCTTCTGATGTGATCAAGGACTGAGATGCTAATATTGTAGCTCTAAAATTTGATAACTTACTTGCTCTGCTAATGTAGTCCACTTTGTAGCTAGCAAGTTCTCTCAACTTCTCTCCTAGCTTTATTACTGTATTTTTAATGTCATTATTTATGGCCATGATGTCTGCAGCACTGTTCACAAGTTTTGTGGCTGTTGATACTAAGTCTTTTCCGGTCGGCGATGACTGCTGCCGTTGATACGAGATATTTTCTAGTCGGCTGTAACGCTGCCGTTAATACTAGATAATTTCTAGTCGGCTGTAACGATGCCGTTAATACTAGAAATTTTCCCGTCGGTTGTGACACTGCCGTTGATACTAGAAATTTTCCAGTCGGTTGTAACGCTGCCGTTGATACTAGACACTTCCCAGTCGGCTGTAACGATGCCGTTAATACTAGATGTTTTCTAGTCGGCTGTAACGATGCCGTTAATACTAGCAAGTTTCTAGTCGGTTGTGACGCTGCCGTTGATACTAGATATGTTCATGTCGGCTCTAACGCTGCTGTTGATACTGGATATTTTCCTTTTTGTCTAGGGGTAAAAACTTCTCAAAAATCTTGTTGTGTTCAAATCCCGGACTTAAGCCCTCACTTGTTATGGTCAGTGGGCTATTTAATTGTTGTAACTAGCCATAATACAAATTAAAACAGAGTCCAACGTTCATTTATCACAATAAAATATAATCTTCCACATACAACAGAGAAACAGTGAACATTAAAACGAAAAACACTGACTACATGCTACCCTAAGTTGACGATACCACACACTCTCCTTACACACTAGAGTTCACACACTTGTCAGGGGAGGCGACTCTCACACCCAATCTCTCCGTGCCTACACGCTTTCGCTATGAACGTCTAGGCCACGTCACATATACCATTACAATTAATATTTCATACTGTATTGGTTAGAGTTCTAAATCAGTAAAGATTATGTCTGGAACAAAATGTGTGTGTGTGTGTGTTTTTTAATTTAAATAAATCTCTGTCAAAGACCTTTGCCATTTTTTATATGGAAAAAAATTACAAGGGAGACAACACAAAGCAAATTACTAGCCGGTCGGTTTTTGTAAATTTTAGAAAGATATATTTTAAAAAAAAACGGTCACAGTAAAAATTATCTGACAAAGCAATTTTAATTTTTAAAAAATATAAAAAAATAGTAGTCACGCTAATATATATTAAAAATCTCTCTTGCTATAAAAGTTGAAAGCAGTGACTTTAATGTATACATTTTTCTAAGACAATCAATTTATTCAGCGTAATTAATACTTTTAGGTTGACTTCTGTCAGGAAACAATTATTTTAACCAAGTTATTTTCAGTTCTTAAGCGGGAGATAAACTATAAATCAGAATGGCCAGAAGTAAACAAACTGCTGGTAAATCAACTGGTGGTAAGGCACCAAGGCAACAGCTTGCCACTAAGGCTGGAAGAAAAAGTGCACCATCAACTGGAGGTGTAAAGAAACCACATCGTTACAGGCCTGGTACAGTTGCTCTCAGAGAAATTCCCCGTTACCAGAAATCTACTGAGCTGCTTATTAGGAAATTGCCCTTCCAGAGACTTTCAAGAGAAATTGCTCAGGACTTCAAGACACATCTTCGCTTTCAAAGTGCAGCTATTGGCGCTTTACAGGAAGCCAGTGAAGCCTACTTGGTAGGTCTTTTTGAAGACACCAACCTTTGTGCTATTCATGCCAAGCGTGTTACTACCATACCTAAATATATCCAGTTGGCCAGGCGAATTCGAGGAGAGCGTGCCTAATTTTCTTTTAATGCACATTCTTTAAGAATATATATATATATATATATACATATATTTGACAGACAAAATAGACAATTTTGGAAAATTTTATTTCCTGACCACTGTGTATTTGGATGAGTAATTCAAAATTCTTCATGGATACGGAATACTGAAACCTATGATTGGATATTCTTTATTTTAAAAAATATGAAATGGAGAAATATGCTGTCATTGCATCTTTGGTTGTAATTTGCTTTCAGTTGTGTGGTCAGGTAATAAAATATTCCTTTGACATAAAAGTGCAGCAGCAGAATCTACTTTTCATAATATATATTACATGACCATAAATCTCAGTGAAAGTTTTCAAATGTTGTCGGATTTCCTTTGATGTCAATGTTTTCAATTATTCATGTTCAACATGTTTGTAATCGTAATCTCCATAACTTATCCTTTCATTTTGTAGCATGTGTACTTCTGTTTTTCTTTACTGTAAAATCAGTTGTTTTTTTTAATTTATTTTAAAACATCAAATTGAGAACTGGGTCAATGCTCTTTGTAAGTCATTAAATCATAATTAGTCATTGTATGCACATAAGACATTTATCTGATCGTCATAACTTCAAAAAACAAACAAAAATAGGTTTGTTTTAATAACTAAAATAATCAATTTAAATTTCGGCTGATATTTTAAAATCCGACAACACTAGTGTTGTATCTGAATTATGACGTGGTTTGTCACCATGGATCATCAAAACTGGAGCTCTCGTGTGTTTACCTTTAAATCAGACTGCTCGCCTCTCACTACACTAAAACATTCTACTCATATTATAAAACACGAGCCAACCCGCTGCGTATCATACGCCGCTATTTAGTTGTTTTTTTTTTCTCTACGTTTCAGTAATTTATCATTTCTGAATTCGACAGTACCAATGCTGCCACTGAAAATATTTGCGTAAAAACACTAAACCCCCCCTCCCCCCCCCCCCCCCTCCACGTGAAAGCAGCCTCCTCTTAGTTACCTCCTCTAAGTTTAAAATCGTTTCAAACTAAATTATCAGCCCCTAACAGCCGTCATCAAACCCGTCTCTATGATTGTAAAATGTAAACAGCGTGAACCACAGCTCACCAGACCATGTGAGGGGGTGGGGTGGTAGCGATAGAGAGGAAGAGAGGGGACTGTAAGGCGCGCTTGCAGCTTGTTTTCTAACGGCTCCCAGAAGAGAATTATATATATAGATTTGGATGTTGGTTGAAACACTATTGAGGAAGTTATATGTTCCTAAAAGTAATAGCCAAACAACATATGAAATCATCAGACCATCACAACATTGCTGACGTTAACCACACGAGTCCGTGTTTTTGTTTACTTTACAACGAGCTGTATATTTGCCTTTATGACAAAGGTGGCAAACAATAGCCAACAACACCTCAGTGGGTAATAAGCATCCCCATTGAGGCAGTGTTACACATAGCTAGACTAATCATGATTTATTTTTGTTGATCTAATAAGTGATTGCTTTGCATGGTTTCAATATATATCAACTGAGTCAATCGATAAGTTTAGATTTGATGTGGCAAGACATATTTACTCTACATAGTTATTTGATTGAATATTGCTAGCCTTAATAAAACCGGAAGTCATTTTGTACTTACTTCACAAGTATTATAAAATAATAAACTTTGGTTAAAACATAAGCTTTTTGGCAACAACGATTTGCAACCAGCTGTTTAAGCCTAGTGTTTCTTATTTATTTCATTGCAATAACAAATTGTAGAGAAAACGTTGCAAGATAGACAAATTACGAATTGAAATTATAATATATATTTAAAGTAAATGTTCATTAAATCAAAGTTTTAACTTTTATATTAACATAACTGGTACACAACACAACATTTAATTTAACACATGTTTTTACTGTTTAGTGTGACTAATATTATCACAAATAAACAGTTTTTTTTTTAATTAATGTTTTGGCGTCTGTTCTAATGCTAGTTTATTATTTTAAAGTTGTTTGCCTTGAAATGTTGATGAAATTGGTAAATATTTATTTTAGTTTTAAAAATGTAAATAAAAGTAAAGTACCCTTTTACACCTGACGGTCTACGGGGCAACTGAAGTAGAGTTCACTAATTTCAGTGATCTAGGCGTATGAAGAGATAGTGTGGTCAGCACTATACCCAGCCGCCGTTACTTATCCTAACTTGAGTTAGGTACCTATCAGAGTTAGATGTGACTTGAACCCGGATTCGAACTCGAGACTTTTGGGTTAGCATTCCAGCTTTCTACCGTTAAGTAGGGTTAGACAAAGATTACATGTCATGAAGAATGTTTATATAAACTGATGGTGTTTGCCTCAATAGCTATAGGCTTGCCAGTTACTAGTTATTTTAGTTCTATTATTTGTATTTTATTCTATGAGCTATATAATATACAGTACTACCAGAGGCATCGCGAGGCGGGGGCGGGGGGAGGGTGCGGATCGCACCGAGTGACACCAATAAGAGGGGTGACACCAAGACAAAAAATTGAAAAATGTATAGTAGAAAAATGATTTAGCCAGTTTAATTAATAGTTAATTAGAATTAAAAAGTCTTAGCATAGCAAAGATTCCAATATGGGAAGGGGTGAAACCTGTATGTAAACCTACCAATTATAGAGAGAATAATTTTACATTCAGCCGTAATACAAACAGCTATATATATATATATATATATATATATATATATATATATATATATATATATATATATATATTACTTATTTGACGCTTGTAAAACAAATTGCTAAATTTGTTAAAAACTAGGTAAAACACAAATTATATTTCATTGTATTTAAACATGGCTAGACTATTGAATTTGTGTTTTTTTTTAAAATAATATTAATTTAGAAACTTGTTATAGCGCCGGCTTTGCAGGACTTGTCACCCATCCACCCATCACGCCACACCTACCAGTCATGTATCTATTTTATTAAAAATGTGCATGTATTTAAACACAATTTTTTTTTGTTTATCACTTCACATTTTGCTTTAAAATGTGTTAAAGGGAAATAATAACTAAGAATTCCTTTAGTCAAACAAAAAAAAGCAACAATACAACAGTAAAAGCAAAATTAACAATACTCTTTCTTTAAATTAAATATTTAAAAATTATTTTGTTATAAACTGTTTTTGTTTTCCAAGATATCTAAACAAATATAAAATTGCTTCATAATTTAAATTATAAGACGGTATTTATATGTTTTAAAATGTAGTACTTTTAAGAAATCTCAAATGTAAATTATAATAACCGGTTAATTGTCTTTTTTTGGTGTGATATAATCACAATTAAAAATTGAAAAATAAAATCTACTTCTTCCATTCGAAGTAACAAACCTGCATGACATGTTGCAGGTGAAGTAGAGATCGACTGTTTCTTGAGATAACACATTATCAGATGACCTGACATATACCAGATTAAGGTATCATCCTTACAATCTAAATCTAAATCAATCTATCTGAAACGTGAAAATGAATTATATATGTAAACCTGGTCTGTTTTTGTAATTAAAAAATGTATATAAATTAACCAATCAGTATTTAAATGCCTTTAATTTGACCAATTAGCAAAACAGAAAATCGGGCTCTAAATAAAATATCATTTTCAAGCGATAATTTAAAGTATATTAACAAAAAAATATATGATTGTATAGACAGTGGGAGCACTGATACCCCGGGCTATAACAACATATTTACAAAAATAATAAACATTTTAAAAGTTATTGAACGTGATTATATTTCCTGAAAAATGCTGATAAGATTGATAACATTGCATAAATCCAATATTGACTTAAAACATACGCGATACAATAGCTTTAGTCAATTGTATACGTATGTAAAACAAAATGGCTAAAGCTTACCCAGTCCAAACGTGTCACGTGTCATCAACCAACACCACCCCGCCCCTCTGATGTTAACGTTCACAAAAACTGAGTAGACCACTCAAACATTTCGTCCAATGAACTAATTGAAATGCATGCTTGGTGTACTTGGCTGATTTTAGGTATTGTTTATTCTAGCACTAAATACTCTAAATATTACTGAAGTGAGTATTCTGGTAAACAGTAAAGAGTAACACATTATAAACTTATAAACTCCCAGCAAAAGCTCTCATATTTACTATGTGGGTCAAAGGTGATCTAGTACTAAAACACGCACAAATATAATTACATCAACCAAAAACGTTGCCTAAAATGTCAACGTGTTCTATAGCATTAAAAAAAAATTATTCTATGGCAGAGGCGTAGCGAAGGGGGAGGGGGGGGGGAGATGCGTACCGCACAAGGTGACACCAATTAGGAGGTTGACACCAAGGCAAAATATATCGAAGTATATAGAAAAAAAGATAATTCCACTTAATTAAGTGATTGGAGTGTTAAATAGTCTTTTAAAGGGCAAATTAAAGGGTAGGGGTGGGCAGGTGTAAAGCAAGCGAAGTGCCTGTGGAGTACAACGTCCGCACGTCGTAAGTTCATCTCAAGTTTACAAAAGCCGTGTTGAGTTGGAGTAAACGATTTAAGATATTACATTGACAACAGAGAATATATGGCAACATTTGAGGTGGAAAACACAAACAAATTTGATGCTAGATGTGAGATGGGTGGAGTCGTAATGATATCATAGAAGTAGAGAGAGGGTCATGTTTTATAGGGGACGAGGGTCTGGAGTTGTTCTTTTATTTTATTTTCTTATATCTTTAATATAGTATTGCAACACATGGGTGGGGTCTTGTAACAAATGGGATGTAGATATGGGGGCTATGGGGTATGGGAGTCCTGAGGTTTGAGGGCGGGGAAAGTGTGCTTTTTTTTAAAGTACTTAACAAAGCGAAACATTTGAAAACCCAGCTCAGCGTTAGTTAATTTGAATTTGTCGCATGTTTTAAAAACAAGTATAAAATAAATGCACTGTTTTTCTTAGCATTATTCAAATCTTTTTATACTAATTACATATATCTTGTAAAATGAAAATACAAATTCATTACAAAAAATTAAATACATTTTCTATAATTATG